GCACCACACAGCTTGGTGTCATCGGCGAACTTGCAGAGGGTGCACTCCATGCCACTGTCCACGTCACCGACAAAGATGTTGAAGAGGGCCGGGCCCAACACAGACCCCTGAGGGACGCCACTCGTGACCGGTCTCCACTTGGACATCGAGCTGTTGACCACTACTCTCTGAGTGTGGCCATTGAGCCAATTCCTTATCCACCGAGTGGTCCATCCATCAAACCCATGCCTCTCTAGTTTAGAGAGAAGAATGTCGTGCGGGACAGTGTCAAAAGCTTTGCACAAGTCCAGGTAGATGACATCCGTTGGTCGACCCTTGTCCACCGATGCTGTCACCCCATCGTAAAAGGCCACCAAGTTGGTCAGGCACGATCTGCCTTTGGTGAAGCCATGTTGGCTGTCACCCACCACCTCCTTGCTCTCCGTGTGCCTTAGCATGGTTCCCAGGAGGGAAAATATAGGTCTTGTTTCAGACAGGGCTGAAATTTTCTGAAAAGAAGAATTCAGGTATGTTGGAAGAACCAAGCTCTTGAAACGCACATGGAATTCTAAGCTTAAGGCCATAGCAACTCTACAAGGTCTGTTTCTGTCCTGGCAGTTGCTTATCCTTTTGTCCTAAAGGTATGTGAGCGCGTTCACATAACACAGCCTGAGCAGCTAGGTTGAGCCTTCTATTCACCTAGTCCATGTTAAGGAGGAAGATTGCGCTGTTCTGCATTAAATTATGTCGTCATCTACAAACTTCCCTTCTCTGCATCTGAGTTTGTTCTGTGTGCAAGTGTAGAACTTGAGGGCTGTGGCATGTCTCTTCCCTGGAGAACTTTGTGGCCATAAAGCAGTCAGTGACTTATATTCAACTATGCATGTCACTGTTTTCTGGAAGGATAGACAAAATACTGATATGTCTCTTAGTAATTCAAGTTAATTTACTGAATTACTAATATGCCTTTCGTTTCATTGTCTCACAATGTATATGGTAGCATATCCGAATGTGAATTGTTGCTGAAGAGTGCTGATGTGCAGCAGGCTGTTAGATGATGATTTGTGATGCCAGTGGTCATAAACAGAAGAGGAAGTCAAAATACAGTTACTCCATCCTTTTCCCAAACATTACGTGTTTAGTAAGGTCTTTAGGTTCTGCTTTTTAAGAGGTTGCTGCCTCACTTCATGAAGGCTACAATTTACGAAAGCATGCACTTCAGTAAAGAAATTGCTGTGAAAAGCTTTCCGAATTGAGCAGGCAGAACAGCGTGCAGTGACAGTGCTTTTTAACGTGCAAAGCTTAGAGCAAACATTCAGCTTAGAAACCATTTTTCCAAATAGAAGTGTATCTTGAATACACAGTGACAGAGGGCTCTTTTATGGCATTACACATCTACGGACAAATGGTAATGCATATTAGAAAAAACTTACACATGCTGTGAATTTGAAGCAACCAACAGATCATGGACAAGATATGAGACGAAAAGCAAGAACTTTAAAGTAGATGAAGGTAATACTGTTTCTTGCCATGCGAAGTTAGCTAGTAGAACTAACTGACGTCGATATTGGTGAGGTAGGGTGGTAGTATTAGGTGTTAGGATTAGGTTAAAGCGTAAAGCTTGCTGTGAGCTCCTAAAGCTACCAATGTCACTCAGCAAGACTTCAACTTAGTCCCTATTTTTCTGCCTTTCACCTGCAAAACATCGGTGCAAGTAAAATTCAGCTCCTGCACAGAGCACATAATACAATGCTTTCTGTCAGAAATAGAAATGTCAGAAAGAACAGGTTTAAACTTTAAATGTCCTGAATTTTCTACCTTAGAGAGTAATCTGAGAGTCCAGGTGCTCAGTTTGACATCTGACACTGCCATTAATCTATTTGGCTGCTTTGAATGGGTCACTTTGTGTCAGGACTCTTCTGTCTGCCAAGCAGAGAAAAGTATTAATGAACTGCAATATTGATGAACTGTTCAAACTCAAAACAGTAGCGCAACTCAGCCCAGTTAAGGGAGGTCTAAACCTAAAGCTTTATTATGATGTTGCTGTGTTTAAAAATCTGAACTTCCTGTCACAGATGAGTCCCGTCTATGCTAAGGATTGCTTTTCTTTTTTCAGATGTCTGCATTTTTAGTACTAGAAAGCAGAACAGATGTATCAAATCTACAGATGAAAAATTACTTTATAATTGAAGTAGGAAACTTCTGTAGCTGTTTCAGATTGGTCTTTATGGAAGCACTTTGGGGTCCTGGGCAGGGAAGAATCTAAATGGAAGGCTCGCTTCTGTATTGCCAGATGCGATGAATTATTTTGCAAGGATGCCAGATTTTCTCTCTAAAATGGATTTCTTATGTTCCACCCCCTCCATTATTAACTTCTAAATGACCAGGTTTTACTTTGCATTTTAGAAAAGTTTACAATACCTGTAGGAGCTTCAGATTGCTCAGCTGAGGAGCACTAACATGTATGTGTTGGATGTCCTCCTCCATTTTCTCAGATAGGCTTTTTTTTTGTACTTACCATTAACGAAGTCTTCTAAACAAATTACTTTTTCGCTACAGAGGTTGCTGATGGGCGCTGTGTGAATTCTAGAGCAAAATACTATTTTATTTTTCTAAAAAAAACCCTCTCTTTGTAATAGAGGGATAGGAAAAGGAAGAAAAAATACTTGCATTTCTTCTGAATCCCTCTAGAGTTTCTACCATGTGATACTGTAGCAAGACTCATACTAAAATGGAAGACAGTGATAATCTTGTGCAGTTTCTGATGACAGTTTAAAAGCAGCATTTAAAATTTTATTCTTACGTGAATCACACCATCTGCTTCATGATAAATGTAAGCATATTTAGTATTTATTTTCAGCTGAAAGCAACTTATATTAAAAAGTGATCTCCTTTTTTTGTCTCAGTCACTGTATCATCTGAATTCATGCATTTAGATTTATCAATTTCAGGATAAACAGAAGGCTACTGATTAATATGTCAAGTATGAAGCATTTTGGCAGAAAACTTTGTAGAATGAGCATACAGACATGATGACTTTAGCTCAGCCCCTCTTAGAGATATTTCAGCATTGTTTCCAGAATTTACAAGAAAGTAAAGTCTGGGCTAGCTCAACTCGAGAGATGTTAATCTCAGCTTGCTGGCAAGATCTCTCAGCCTTTGTATCTCTCAGAACACCACATTCAGTTGTGTTTTAATGTTTCAAACTTGTTGCAAGTACAGGGTGTTCAATAAAAAGATAGTGTACAATAACTAAAGAGCAGAGAAACATCAAAGACCTGAATCAATACACTTACAAAATAGAGTTTAAGTGGAACTAATGCCTTGTGAGAAGGAGAGATTAACAGACAGGAAAATAGCAATTAATTAAATTTAATTTAAAAATCTTTTAATAAATGTAAAGATGATTATGGGTGATCCTGCATAAAACCACGGTGAAATTTGATGAAATGACTCTGCTCCTGTCGAGAACTCTGAGACAGAGGCTCAGAGGTGTGTATGCTAGGCACAGTAAAAGAAAAAGATAAGGGTTTGATGGCAAGGCAATACGGATGCAAATTATTATTTAGAGTTGAAGGTTTCTACCCAGTAATTGTCTCCTTCATTGGCCATGCTGATGAAAGGAATATTGCATTATGTGATTGAGCGGCAACAGAAGATCTCTCGAAGGGAATGCACTTTGAGTGCAGCTAGTGAAGATAAATTTGAAATCATTTTACCCCAACGTGCTAATACTCCCCCTAAGAGTTACTGTGTCTGGCTTTCTTAACTGCTTGTAGGCTACCATTTTTCAGTGGTGTTACTAAAACAGCACTTGGGACAGAGGTGCAGGCACAACACCATCAGTTTCCAATGGCAATAACTTTTTGACTTTTTGTATGAATGAAAGAAAGGAGAACACTTGACTTTTTCTTTTTTTTTTTTTTTTTATGACAGTGTAGTCACTTGGTGTTTATAGAATAGCAACAAATTAGAAATAAAAAAAAAAAAAGGTTTATGTTCTTGACATGAGGAGTGTCCTTAGTGGGATAGGGGCCTGTAAGAGTCAGCTCTGTAGCTGTTGTCGTCAATTGTGCTGTATGGGCCTACTGGGCAACAGGAGGGACTTGTGTGTCTGGTTTGTTTTATGGTCACAATAAGGTCCTTTTTCCATATGAGAGTCCTGTGGAAGTGCAGCAGTTTTGCCACATTTTCATTTAGAAGGCAGCTTTGAAAATACATAAATAGCAGCTATTTTAGGCATTTTCTAAATTCCCTCAGTCACTCTACTTCCTGACGCCTTCTCTAGTATACAGGGTCCCTTTGGGAGAATGATGTACAGAGCAAATAAAGGCCATGTTCTTGTATTGTGTCCAGACAGTTTAATTTTGCTTCTCTATGCCAGCATTGTGGTTATACTCCACTGTGGTCATACTCAGAATAAGGGTAGTGTGTATACATAAGGACATCAGTACATTAAAACTAAAATCTTTCTGCACAGATTGAATAAAACGTGTAACTTTTTGTATAAGCACATGTGCAAGCTTAGCAGTCGTCTCATTTTTACCTGTTACATATGTAAAACTTGTATTAGTTTGAGTTCACTGGCATAAGAAATTAGGCCCCATGAGTATATTACTCCATTATTATAATTGAGTTGTATGTTCAGTGAATGCATTTTAAATCTAGAAACTGATAAGTTTACTTTTTTATTTTGAAAGGCAAGTATTCGGTCATGTACCTCGTTTATAATAGCTCCACAGCTGGCTTGGGAAGGGGATCTCTCTAACTTGAGATAGAAACCTGTATTTTAAAATGTATTAATATGTATGATAGCTTAAGGAAGCTATTTCATGTTGTAAAATGAGAAAAGGAAAAATGAAACCTATTTATTAATAGCCTTTCAGATGGGTGCAAAGCTTTGAAGATTAGTGTATTCATCATATTGTCATATTGTACAGAGACTTTTAATTCCACCATGTTAGAGTTGGGCCATAGAAACCAAGTAAATCTCTCTAATATTTTTCTGTCGTTCCCACCAGGTTTCCAGAATAAAAATAGAGTTGCAATCCTGGCAGAACTAGACAAGGAGAAGAGAAAGTTACTTATGCAAAACCAGTCTTCCACAAATCACCCTGGAGCCAGGTATTTAATGTTCTTAGACCTGTTTGGGCATCACTGATTACATCAAAGGGAAAAAAAATCAGCAAGCGAGCTGTAAACTTACATGAACACTTATCTGACGTTTTTTTTCTGACCATCCTCAATAATGAGTCAGAGAGACCTTGCACTTCAGGAACGTGTTAGTGTTTAAAATTGTTTACACACCCTGAATTTTGGCTTATGTAATTTTCATTTGAGAAGGGGAGAAGCAGATATGCTTACCCAACTGTATTAAAGTCAACCTTAAAGAAGAATAAGATAGCAGGCACTGAGAAAGCATTTAATTATTAAGCTAGAATGCCCTAAGGAATGGAAGTAGCAGACCATTATGTTCAGGGCACTGGATGTTTAGAGAAGAACAGTTACAGCAGGGAGTGAGTTATCCCTGAAACTCCCTGTGTGCAGGACAAAGCCAGTTTATGTTACTGCAGATCTTCTTATAAAAGATGCTGTGTTGTAATGATGATTCTACACCACAAGGTGTAATGATCTAATCTGAGTTTGGGAGCTGTCACTGAGATTTCTCCCATTTAAGACAAAAAGAGTAGATTTTTGTCAGAAATCAGTAATGAGAAAATCACATGCTGGTTCACATGGAGAAATTGAGATAGTTGAACTTTAGGGTTATCATGAAGTGAGTGCAGTGCCATATTCCAGACACACTGTGTTACATGCAGTATCGGTATCAGAGTCAAATACTCTGAATATAGTCTGAGTGCTGCCTGTGTTTTTTTTCAAGGACATTCTAGGTCACCTTTAGTTCCTTCATACTGTCAAAAAGCATGCAGAATATTTGAAATCGCCTGAGTTAGATCTCTGAGTGGCTCTATATACAGTTACTATTCAAGCAAAATTACTGATTAGAGAAGAAAACAGAAATATCATACTGTTATGTACAACCCCTGACTCCTGGCAACAGTGTTTCTATACTTCATTGCAAGTCTGGCGGAGTTTCAGGGAGTGCCTGTTAGCTTTCTTTTTTCTTTAAGGAAAAATAACACTATATGCTAGTGAGCAGAATTAGAATTTACTGATTTTGAAGGTGGGGATGACGGGGAATCTACAAAGCAGCAGCCACGCTCTTTGCTTTGGTATGGTGGGCTGATGTGTGGTTTTTAAGAAGCTGACAGTTCTGTGACGGGGATGTTGTGCCAAAGGTTTTAGACCACAGAGCTGTCAGAAATGAGACCACAGAAATTCTGAAAGCTTGACAAAATAAAACCTTTATGTACCTAAAGCACAGTAGTGGCATGGCCAGCATAAGGGTGAATGAATTAATTTGTTTCTGGCCTTGGCATATGGGAATCCTCTATTCAAGAACAGAAGACCTCTCTTGAAAAGTGTCAGTGTATGATAAAACTGACACTTTTCTGTAGATAATCTTACTACAGAAATCATATTGAAAAGTTAAAGGGTACAAAATTAAATGCAAATGCAGTGAAGCTTATCTTAATATTTGTCATAAAATCTATTCAGAGGATTGTTACTTAGCTTTCATTATGCTTTTAGGTGTAGATTTGGCTAAAGGTCTTTTCATGAGCCTGGCTGCTTTTGAAAAAACGGTTTACTAAATTGAAGCTGCTGGGAAGGATCAGTTAATAAGTTTGCTTGGATCCTTTGTTGTCCTTCATACTTCTGTCTCTATGACTGAGGAGAGCTGGGATTTCAGCACCAGTCTCCAGAGCCAATTTCAGAAGTAGCTGTGAATTGCCTTGCAGTACAGCTCTAATGGCGGTCCTGACTGATCTCTATCTGCAGGATGGCTGACCGTGTTACTTATTTAGAGTCGGGAAGAAAAAAGTCTGCCTTTTATTTTTTCTTTTTGTTTAACAAGGTGGACAAATCTTAAGATATAAAAGCCAAGAAAACTGAAACTTTAGAAACTTTAATTTGAAACCTAATGTATGCTGCACTGAGACATATAAGCCAAATCAATTTTAGGTACTCTAGGATATCATCAGAGAAATCATTATTTGAGTTACGTCCATAGGAAGCTCCTTTACCATAAGCAGTGATCTGCTGCCCACCAGCCGTAGAACTGGTCTCATACTGAAGGCTGTGGAGCTCTTGTTAGTTCTTCTGTTTATCACACTTGTTTAGGATCGTCACTGGGTGGCTGAGTAATGGTGAAAACACAGAGTTGTAGTTTTAAAAATTGCTGACATTGTCTAATGTTGCACCCCAGTGATTCCACTGACTTCAGTGGGACTCCACCCATGAGCGAAATCCACAACAGGCTTCAGGACTGTGAGTCTTCTGGGTTTAGTTTGGCATCAATTGTTTATGCTAGGTCAAATGATGCAGCTATGGTCACTCTGTTTTCCTTTTCTCTCTTATGTTAACAAATAGTAATTCCAAACAATAATTAACATTTGTCGAGCCCTGAGTCAAGTAAATTGTGAGCTTTGGAACTCACAGAATCTGTGGCTGGAATAGCAAAGACACATTTTTTTTTCTGTGGTATGTGTCATACTCTCTTGTCCTTTATTGCAGCATTGCACTTGCAAGATCACCGCTGAACAAGGATTTCCGTGATCATGCTGAGCAGCAGCACATCGCAGCGCAGCAGAAGGCTGCACTGCAGGTAAGCTGATAACAGTCAGGTGGAGTTTAGCTTGGGTCTATTTTAGATGTGCGTCCATTCAGAGAGCAGTCCTGCACCTAGAGAGAACGAAAAGCCCCGTCTAGAGCTTAGGTTTCATACATTTCTGTATTTGTCACAAATGAAGTTTCTTCTGTTATGATGAAAGCATAAATCTGTCAACTCATTCTCCCTTGACATGGTTTTAAGAATGTAGCCTACAGTATCATCATATCTGTTCTGTACATCTTAGTCAAGAGTCAGTTTCATCACACTTCTGAATGTCTTGTGAAGTGTAGGGAGAAGTAGCCACACAGCTTTCCTAGGTTGAATCTGAGCAGATGCCAAGTAAATACCCTGCAGTTACAAGGGACAGGAGTGAAAGATTTGGAAAACTTATTTGTACGTCTAGTCTTCTATTTGCTGCTATTTTGGTTATGTCAGGTGAGGCTGATTTTGGTGTTGAAATTGGAAGTTGTGCAGGAAAGCCAGTACATGGCCACCTGCCTTCTTGGCACTCTAGGGGGCATGATTTGGCAGAGGGCATAGGAATGGGAAAAATGTTCAGATGCAAACTAGCAATGCTGTCCATATATCCTTTGCCTTGTATTTCTATTACCCAGCAAAGGCCCCAGATTGCTTCTCCTAAAATGAAAGGGAGCAAAAGTGAGCTGTGGCTGGTGTCCTGTGTTGACCACAGAACATGGCAGGCTGGAAGGATCCTCTGGATGTTTCTGGTCCAGTGCCTTGCTAGAAGTATGACTTACAGCAGTGCTAAATCACAGTGTTCAGGGCATGGTTCAATTAAGTTTCGAAGCTCTTCAGGGATGGACTTTCCACAGCCTTTCTTGCCTCTGAGTCTGGCTCTGTCTTCTCTATATCCTGTCACTGGCTATCTGAAAACAGTATAAGATCTCTCCTCAGCTTTACCTTCTCAGAAGAAGCTCAGTTCCCTCACCATCCCCTGAGAGCTCCAGCATCCAGCCATGTCTTTGGTTCTCTGTTGGACTCAGTTTGTATCTCAAAGTGAACACAATATCACAAATGCAGCCTCATGGGTAGCCTCCGTTGGCCTACTGGCTATGCAATTGCTTATGCAGCCCACTGTGCTGGTAGCCTTTATTGCTGCAAGGGCATGCTGCTGGCTCAGGCTAAATTTGGTACCCACTAGGGCTTTTCCCTGGTGGTAGAAGGAAGGAATGTGCAGGCCATCTAGCTTACTGGAGTCCAGTTTTTGAACTGGAAAAGGCAGTTTAGGATTTTACAAAGATTGTCCAGAGTCATGAGCAGCAGCTGCCCTCGTCAGGTGAAAAGCACATATACATCACATGAGCAGAAGGCTGATGTCCCGTGTTGCACCCAGGTGTGTCTGGTCACATGTCATTTGTACATGCAGCTTCAGGTTGTGTGACACTACTGGTGCATGCTTCTGGCAGTCATATGTGGCAGCTGTCACAAACCCAGGCCTGGAATTTGGTTATAGATAGGAGTGGAAGCATGAGGTGTAGGCAAAGGAGAGTGGTCAGGAGTTCAGTTACCACTCTCCCCATCTCCATGGAGTTAGCTGAAAAAGGAGCAGCAGGGAATGACCGAGTTAAATTCCCTTGATGGACCCTGTTCAGATGTGGCTGATCTAAAATGCTGGTTTTGAATTTGACTGTCAGAGTTGAGGAGCAGACTGGGAGAAATAAATAATTAATGCTGCAGAAGCTGTAAAGTCTTGAATTATATCAGTGCTGTGGGGAGTTACGCTTTAACAAATGTTTTTCTCTTTCCAGCACGCACACGCACATTCCTCAGGATACTTCATAACTCAAGACTCTGCATTTGGAAATCTTATTCTTCCTGTCTTACCTCGACTTGAGGCAGAATGAGGAATGTTGTTTCTCAGAACTGCAAGGTCTGATTTTTGTCCATAGCGGGAACTGTCTGACCTTTTAATTTCTTTACTTATCTTAAAAATCTATTTTTTTCTGGATTTTTGTGGTTGCCTTTTGGGAGTGTGAGCTCTGACGATGAAAAAGCAATGTTTTTAACAGCAATTTTTATCTTGTATTTCTGTTCCTCTGTCAAGTCAAAGTCGGATGTAAGACTTCCTCAGTGCGTGAAGTGCATAGCGCTTGCTCTTCCTTGTTTCTGTGCTTCCTTTAAATAAATGTCCAAACCAGAGTCATCAAGAGATGCATACTCTTGTCACCTTTTGTGTGTCTTATTATTGTGTACAGGTACTGTATTTGACTTTAATGAAAGACGAAAGTTACTTTTGTCCATCAAAACAGACATGAATTTATCAAGTGCATCAGTCAGTCTCTCTTTTTTTTCTTTTTTTCCCCGTGTATGCAGGAATATTGCTAGTGTACTGTTAGCTGTTGCAGTATCATCAGCTCTCAAGTCCTTACATATAGTGTGTCTGCCTCTTACTTGGTTTTGTGAAATATGAAAATGAATTAAAATGGGGAAGACCCAATTGTTTCAAACAGTCTTTTAACAGACAAAATAAAAGAAGTCTCTTAGCTTCTCTGGACGTTTCAGATGGAAAGTGTTGTCTGCAAGGACAATTCAGTTTAAAAGGCCACATTTTTCTAGTCATACCTTTTTCAAAACTTACTGTGTTTCAATTTGTTTGCTTTTTTCCTCTCTGTTTTTATCTGTGGTAGCCAATTCCAGCTCCATGTTGAAAGAAAATCTGTTAAGGTAAATTATTTTTGGAATAGTGATCATGCTACCAGGATAAAGTAACTTAGAGTGAAAAATAGTCCTTACATAGACGTTCTTATATCTCCACAGCTTTACTAATACAATTATACTAGTACATTGATGGCTTTATCTATGAAGGCAAGTTTTAGAAAATAAAAAGAACAAGAGAACTTAAGTGAGAACCAGAAATCTGAAAGCATCTGTTAAATTGGTGCCCATTTGAAGCAGCTCCCTCCTTTGCAGAACTTAGCTGTCCCCTGAGGTTTCCAGGGTTGTAGTCTATAGATTTCCTTAGTGACATTTAGGGTATCCTTTTTCCGTCTGCAGGGGATTGCCTGAACCCAGTAAGCACTACTGAACTGTAAGCACTGTTAACAATTCCGTTCCTCATGAGAAAGAAAACAGAGAGAGGGCAAAACAGAGCAAGGACAAAGAGACCGGTATGAGGAAAATGCCACAACTTTCATATACCTCAGCTGAGTACACAGCCTTGCAGAAGCTGTAGCATACGAAAACATTTTCAAGAAGGAGGATCTTGTGGAGGAGGCCTGATAGTGCTTAAAGATGTACAATTGTAACATGAACTATTCAAATCCTGTGGTTTTTTGAGGGGTCTGATGTGGTGAGTCAAGGGAACGATGATGGTTTTTGCGGGCAATGGAGAAAGGAGTACTGTCATTTTTGTTTTCAGTGGTTGGCTCTGTATAGCTTTTTAATTACCAAGAGTAGCTTCACCATGAAGCCGTCCTGACTACTCATTATTCTACATTGTGAGCTGAGTATCTTAGATGCTTTGAAGAAAAGGTTCTGCAAATCTGTGTGTAGAAGAGGCAGCTAAGAATCAGTCTTAGCTTGGAAGCATACAAAGGTGAAGAAGGTAAAGCAGATATAGAAGTTTGGATTTTAGATTTTAGTTGAATTTAAAAAGTAGGCCAGACTTTTTGACATTAAAGGAACTTTTTTTTTCTTGAGAAAAATGGCAAAGAATGTCTTTCTCTATAAATAGACCTTCTGTGTTAACAAATTGAATGATAGATTCTCTCAGTGTTGCTGCACAGACTGCATATGATCTAGGTAAGGAAAGAGTAGAGATCCTTCTTTGGAAAACCGTAGTTGCTCCACTGAAGAAGTTAAACATGCTGGATGTGTTGTTTTCATCTCAGGTATCAAAAGATCTACTTTTGGAAAGCCAAAGCCTGGGCTCAAAGATGGAGGTATTTGAAAGGGGAAAAGTTGACAGAGCTGTTGTAGTATTTTTAAGTTATAATGCCTCACATTATTCTGTGTAATCGTGAGGGACTTGGTGATATATGTAGATATAATTAACTGTCAAAGATACAAATGTTGTATATGGAAGCTTCTATCTTAGAAACCACGGACTCTTCACAATTAGTGTCAGATGCGTCAATTTGTCTTACCGCTCTTGCTTTCTCCTTTCCACTATTAATCAGTATTAAAATCATTAATGTATCCCTGTACAGTAATTTCAGCAAAATCTTTTCTCCTGTTGGAATTGCAGGTTCAGATTCAATTCATTATTAAGTTAGAATATATCCAAACCAGGAAGTGTCTGGGATGTCTTGCTTCTATCACATAAAAGCAGAAGGCTTTTAATCAAGTGCTCACCTGTGTACCTAAAAGTATCTTAACACACATAATCACTCAAGAGTCATTTTTTTTCATTTGCTACAGTAGTAATCAGCCTTTCCACTCAACACAGGTGCTTGGTGGGGCGAGAGCAGGTCACGGGGTAGATCTTGCACCAAACAGATGAGGTATATGGGAGGTGGGCTAACACACAGTGAAGTCAGACTTTGTAAGTGATGGCAGAGTCATAATCTGCAAGAACAGATGAGGTAAAGAAGTCAAAGATGTTGAACTGATACGCTGAAAGAACTGAACCACAACTTCTTTCTTCTTAGCTCTGTGCTCTTTCTCTTCCACGAGACAAGTTTTCTCTCCACACCCTTGTTTTCCAAAGTCACTCACCATCTCACCACCATTACAGGCTCTGGAAAATGCTCAGTTTTAACACAGGAAGCCTGGCCTGAAGAACCACACGTTTCCTACCACTGCAGGGTTTTAGTGTCATTTTTTTTCTTAGTATTTTCACTCTACTGATTCTCAGAAGCACTGGTATGAAACTAGTCAATAGTATCTGGCATATTTGCACTTCACCTCACAACACAGAATACCCCATGAAACTAATTATTGAAAAGAAATTGCAGCCCCTGATGTCACTTGCCAGGAACTTCGTAGTTGCTTAGATGTGTTCAATCAGTTAAAATAACCCAATGCTACTTCTGCCTTCATGTGCAGTCAGCACAGAACAATCCAGCTGTAATTTGCAAGTCCTGTGAATGAAGCTGGGTACTACTCAGTTCATGGCGAGTCCTGTCTGAGGTAGTCACTTCAGATGGCTCTATTTTATTAGACCACTGTGTCACTGAAAGGCTGGAGGTCATTTATTGTCTGGCTGCACAGCTGAGAGGTCAGTGCTGACCCTAACCTTGTAGAAGTGCATGAAGAGGCCAGGCTTTTCCCATTTTCTTTAGAAAGAAGAGGAAGGTATCGATTATCAACCAGGTAACAGGGAACATGAGCTTAAACTGGTGGAGGAAAATGCAGACAACTATGTCTTAGAGTGCACAATCTTTTGTGGCTTGACTTGTGTTTGCAATGTTTCAGGGACAGAGCACAAGGGCTGAAGGAGGGTGATGAGCCTAGAATGGTGCAGCATGGAGTCACAGACACGTGACACATCCTCTTAAGCATTATGATAGTTAAAACAGGGCTTGGTGTATTCACCAGGCAGAAGCATTGGTAAGAATAGCTGTCATACGCAGATGATGTTCTTTCCCCTTGTGTCTGCTTAAACCAAAGCTGATTCCCATGTCCTACACTGTACGGAGCTTTCTGAAGCAAACAGTAACTTTGAAGACTACTGGGTGAAGTGAATTTCACGTGCTGTTGGGTTAAAAGCTTGCTCCAGTGAGTGTCTGCATTTGTTGGAACCACAGAGCTTGCCCTAGACAAAACCACCTCCTTCTGCTTGTTTCCTGGTTCTTGCTCTTTATGGGAATCAAGTGACATACCTCCCTGGGGAAATGATTCTTACGCTCCTTCCTTGAATATAGGTATTTCAGAGAGGAAGAAAGCAAGTTAAATGTACTAAGTCAGAAAATTTGATTTGTGGGACATTATGAAAAATTACACTTAACTACTGGTCAGGAAACAGCTCTTCTCCTCAGTTACTCCACTCTGCCAGGTTCATTCAGGCGTTGGATTGTGAAAGGTGGTGGCACAGTTCTCAACTTGTTCTCTTTAAGGACTCTAATCTGGATATTTTAGGGTCAGTGGATGCTACTTTTGGCATGCAAGTTTTGTAGATTGTGGCTGGAAGTTATTCAAAATCTACCTTATTTTTATCTGAAGAGTTGTACTTGTTCATTTAAAAGTGCAAATCACAAGCTTGCACACCACCTTCACTGTGCACATACATTGCCCTGTCCATTAGCATATGTGTATTACTGGTTGGTAGAGTGTGAGTTTCTTTCAGTAGGTAAAGATGTCTTATTGTAAAAAATATATGTAGATCTGTGGACACTTTTATATTTTTCAGAGGCTTTTTCAGTGCATTACCTGAATCCTCACATGAGGCAAACAAAGTTATCTTCAGTTTTGCACATGGAGAAAAATGCAAAGAGGTTGCAATGCCTGCAGGTACACAGAAAGCCTGTGGAGTTGTGAGGATTAGCTCCTGATTAGTGAGCTAGTGTGAGGCATCATCTGGACACTATCACTCTGCATCCCATGCTTCAACTGGCTCATCTCTGCCTCCTAGAAGATGCTGAGCTCTTTGGTTTCTGGTTTGTCTTTGTTTTCATGGACAGCTCAGTGCTTGGATTTGTTTTGGATTTGTTTTCTGATGGTGAAGACAACAACACAAGGCAGAGTTTGGCCCTTTTATGTTTGAAATTTGGGGTAGGGAGGGTGCTGATAAAAAGACAGCAGTATCATACTCAGTGTTTGGAAGCAAGGGCAAGCGTACTTCCTTCTTCACAACAGTGACCAGATAAACTTGCCCATTATGCTGGAGCTTAGCCATCATTTCATGCCCTAAGTAGAAGTACGTTAGAGCGTCCATCTGCGTGGATGACTGTAGACTTCCTCCATCTGTCAGTGAGTGGCCACTTGTGGAAGTGGGAATGGCCAGATGTGGGCTCAAGCCAAAGGTGTCGTCTCCATGTTTCTCTGCCAGCAAGAGTTGTGTGCCACTGGCTCACAGCTGGGTCAGGAGTCGGGGGGACTGCATGTTCGCAGCCGTGGATTGTTACAG